AAATATCTCAATGCCTGCCAATTGAACATTTAAATGACTGCCTGCACATGAAACACATACATGGAGTTCAGACAGTTCCTGGATGTGAATACCACCACCAAGTTATGCATCATTGCAGAACCATCTGAAAATGCACAGACTGTATTCCATCGCTCAAAGCAGAGAGAAAAAAAATGATCATCGGATGGGTCAGGCACAGATTCTGTGGTTGTCATGAAAAATGTAGGCAACGGGTCCTTACCTGCTTCACTGCATGAGGACAGACACATCTATAAGCCACACCAAGGCACAAGTCCCCAGGCCCTGGCTCATCCGCCTTCCTTCCCAGCTGTGACCCTGCTACATACACCCTGGCGCTGTCCTCTTGGCTTACAGACACTGGAGTGGCTAGAGCTAGAATATGTGCAAGCACTAGGAGGGCTCTTTGCAACCCTGGCCACCTCCTCCTCTTCCCCAGCCTCTGGTGGGCGGCTCACAGGGCTGGAACCAGGCACCTCATCTCCGGAGGCAGAGCCCCCCCAGCTTTGCCCAGCAGGGTTCCCGCTGGGAGGAGGTCCCTGCTCTACAAGGCTCCCCGCGTTCTCCACCTGGTTGGTGCAAAGTAAAATGGTCTCTGCTTCAACTCTGGGCGACCAGGAGGCCAGCCATCGGAGCTGGAAACTCTGAGCCACCACCGCTTGGATGCCGAACTGGAGATGCCCGGCGGCCAGAGAGCACCATCCCCTCTGGGCTGGACACTGAGAGGGCGCCAGTCCCAGCTGCCCCCGCCTCCCACCCCCCCAGGAGAGGGGCAACATACACATAAAAGCCCAACCCGAAAGCGGGCAGCATGCAATGCCTCCCACCCCTCACTTCTGGCCTTGAACTTCAACCTCACAGCCCAAGCTCCAGCTGCAAGTTGAAATCAACTCCCCCAACCCACCGCCCAGCAGGTCCCTGCCTGTTACAGAAGGGGAGGGGGGAGGAGGGGGAGGGAGGAAGGGGGAAGGGGTCATAACACTTGAAGCCGGAGCCTGAGAAGTCACTTAGCCCGCCCCCCCCCAAAAAAAAACCCAGCTGATCCCGTGGGAGGCAGGTGGCGACTGGGGTTCCACCAGGCAGGCAGAGGCTGAGCGCCCTCAGGAATTAGTCTTAGGGCAGCTCATTAACAATTAACTCATTCATTAACACGGGCGCAGAAGGCATTGATAAGAGATGCTCCAGCCCCCAAGCCTGCCCTCCGGCCCAGCAAAGAGGATTTGGCTCCAGTGCGTCTGGAGAGAGGCTGGGAAGGGAGCATTTAGCCGGTTGACCCCAACCCCCCTCCTGGTGCGCCCCAGGCTCCGGGGCTGCCGGTGCCC